TAAGTCTGTTCTTGATGAAATGCTAAAGAGTATTGAACAATCATAAACATAACAGCTTGTCACTACTCTCGCGTGATCTGTCAATAAACGGCTATTGAAAAAGGTGCATATACTTGGATCACCCGTTATATGCTTTTGTTAAGTTTTTGTTAAAGGAATCCGAACCTTTAACACCGATTTGGCAATTTATTGATAATAGAGTGATATCTATTATATCAAAAAACATTAAATTTGGCTCCACCGAAGCTTTAATAAGCTTCACAAGTGAATTTATTGTAGTACTACTATGAGCAAAAAGTAGTAAGACTTTGCTAATAATTTGAAAATTCATAATTTATTCTTCAAATTCTATATCGCGCCCTCAAGGTAATCCATCTTGGCCCAACAGCTTGGTGCCAACATTTTTTCCTACCCTCGAAACAGTTGTTAAAGTCAATATCCAAAACAGAAAGAGTCAATGTAGTATGCAACGGTGCAAAAATCGAGAGTTGTCGGCTCATAATGTTGACCTCCTTTTACGAATAGCTTCACGCAAACGACGTATAGTATAATACTAAGATAGTATTCTTTGTTAACAGTTTGGCCGGTCGGAAGAAGTTCAGAGTGTACCACATTTCGATAATCGAAGGAAACTGTCCACATAACGTTGATTTTAACCTGCTTTAACGTGATTTTATTGGCTTCGACTCACCTTTGCCACGATATTCGGCCGATTGATTGTCTGTTACCGGACCGTAAGCATAGATCCAAGATTCACTGCCAGTTATAATAAGTTTCATGAACTACTTCCTGGTAGTCGGAAAACATTGTTTCAGAGATGTTAACGGGACGCTGTTTTTGAATTAATTTTGGAACCAATCGTACTTTCACTTTTCTTGGGTCCCAATGACCCTTCAACATGGTTTCCACACTTTGTTTCCTTTATTTTATTGACGTGTTGACCATCAGTTGATGTCGATGGCTGTACTGAACGTGGTTTGTTGTCAAAGCGTTCTCGACTATCTTTAAATAATTTTTACCAATCAAAAACACTGGCTCACGACAAAGAATTATCACTGAAGGCTTTATCTAACAGAAATTTGATTCCGCCCACAAAATTTTATTGATTTTCTTTGTTGAATAATATTATATTATTATTATATTATACTATTATAATCATAGTGGTCCGATCTGAACAATTTGTTCTAAGATCTAATTATCTATGCCAAACTTCATGAAGATATGTGGTTACCGTTCAGTGTAACCATCTATATGTTATAGTTGTCCGATATCGGCGGTTCCAGATCGATATCTCAGAAATTTAGAGACTAATCCGCGTATATACATACAACATCTGGCAGACATAGGCAAATTTACTCAGTTTATCATACTGATTTTTTCTGTGTATAACCTGTTCAAAGCATAATTACTATTTATTTTGTGTATAACCTGTTCAAAGCATAATTACTATTTATTTTTCAAATTTTAAAAGTCATACAGCGAATTCTGGAGAATACAGTTGATGGGGCGGCACTTCATAGCCTAGTCAGACCAATTTTACCGTGGTGACTGGCGTAGATAAGAGTCGATACGTTGTCTTGGTACAAAAATTTTTTTCCGCCAAATTAAGAGCCTTGTAACCGTTTTCTCCTCGATCTAGGGGATATAGATCACAACTTCTGAATTTTAGAAAACACTGACATTTCCATTACGAGCGATACGACAGCCTTGAGATGCGGCGGAGAAGTTCACTCATTCAACTGTACTTTAACTTCGGATTGCGCAGAATGCACAGAAGCTCCAAATGGAGAAGTGTTTTAAACAGACAAACGTCTTAATGGTTTAGCCTTTGAGTCAGAGTTATGACCACTAGATGTGTTTTTATAATACGCAAAGAAGCCCACAATTATTTGTAAAGATTTTATTTTTAAAAGTCATTTGAATATCAACCATGATTTTAGATTTCAGTTGACACTCTATACAGCTGGCCTACATAATAGTTTCCATTTTATGCTATTAACTTTGCCTGATTCTTTTGACATTAATATTTTGGAAACATCAGTATGATATATGGATATGATCAAGAATGATAGAATACAAAATTATCCTAATGTGCTGGGGCTAAGTAAGTCGTTCTGACTTAGGAGAGGTCACAGTAGACCTTAGGTCGCGCCGCAAACCTCATTTTATTCTATCTATTTGTAATCCGAATGAATAGAATGTATGATTGACACGATCTTGATAAGTCGCTTGTCTCTTTCACTAATCTTTATTAGTTTTGATGATTTTAAAATCACACACATTCACATTAAATGGAAGACTAAAAAATCGGGTTTTAAAAATTCCTAAGATTGAGTCATAAATTGTTACCAAATTTTTTAGCAATCAAATCGCGTGATTCTTTCTTGAAAATAATAATTGATAATAAGTTCCTTAATAGTAGTACCACACAGGCGAGAAAGTATCTGCGATCTCCTTAAAACGTTATCTACAAGTTTTGTTCATTTTCTATACACAAATAACTTTAATGTTCTAAATGCTGCAATAATGCGAGGGAATATGTTCCGCATTCGCACTTGTCGCCTGACAACATGTCAAATGGAGCGCATCCGCCTTCCCAACCAACAGATCAACGGCAAACCAAAACAACAAAACTGCAACATATCACCAAGTTGATGAGTTCTTTAAGTGAATACCCGCAGCACTCCACCGCTCAACTGTTTATCCAGCGATTACACCGTCAAATTAATTTGCATTCACGGGCTCACTTTCTTCATTCGCCTCGTCGCGTATAAATCTAATTTTAATGCATTAATTTGGGGCTGCCTCAGGCGTTGTGTGTGGCATGGCATTGCTTTGCAATTGTAATTGCAACTATAGCGCTGTTTAACAGTAACTCCATCTCTGCCTACAGCTGACTGCTGTCGCATCTCCTGAGTTAATGAAATTCCAAATGCTCCTGAGACATCGGTTGCGGGGCATGAATTGATTTAGCGGTATTCGTATTGCAGGAAATTATTAATTACCGCTGCAGTGTAACACCAGGGGGATCCAGGTTTATGAATGTACGACTGGCGCATGCCTAAATCCATTTACCACCCATTTTCTTAATGCGCCGTTCTCGTATGATCGGAGTACGGCCCTTCACGTGTTCGCACATGTTTCATATTTTTCAAAAAATTTCAAAAATGCGCTTTGGTTTTTTTTTTTGTGCATTTACTTCGCGATTTCTTGTGTAGTAGGGGAGACACCTATGTATATGTAGTGCTTGTTAGGACGCACGTGCCCCAGTAATGATTGTCAAATCAACATTGCTAATTTAATTTGGTCAGAGAGCAACAACTTCAAGAGCTTTTATATTAGAGCAAATATATTATTGCTGGGATTAAAACATACTAATTTTTTAGACATAACATTTCTCTATATAAGTATGTACATATAACCATACTTTAAAATAAATACTTGAATTAACCGAATGTATTCACCAATTCGGAAAATTCACCGATCCAAACGGGGTTAGATCGCGGAAATAACAGCCCTTGGCCGAATGAAGTCCCGGTCAATTCCTGTACGTAGAACCGGCTGTCGTGGGAATTGGAATCAGATAATAAGTCGGCCAAACTTCGGACGCAACTAACTTCCGACAAGCACTGACCGCCATTCACAGTGGAGCTATCAACACCTTCACTAACTTCCTCTCAGTGAATGGCGTATTAGCAGTCAAACCACTACCCACTGCAGACGAAGAGCTCGAGCTGCCACGAGTAACGATAGTGACCCTTGCGCAGCTTTGTTCTGGATACTGTAGCAGGTTAAACTCCTTCCCGCATGCAATGAGTCTCCGCATGACTCTGAGCACCTCTTTGCATACCCTACTAACCCCACTCATCTAACACCCCTCTCCCTTTGGACCGACCTCGTCGAAACGACACGTTTCCTGGGCTTTCCGTTAGATGACTTCGACGACAATCCATTATATCCTTACCAACAACAACAACAAATTTGGAAAATATTTCATAGAGTGTTTAGCTCATCCATATGTAACTTATGAGATCCTATAAGAAAAATTGCTCGTGTCTGATAAGAAATCGGATGTGATTCTGATAAATGCCATTTGATCAAAATTGACCTTGATTTATACTGCGCTTTGCTAGCTTTTTTGTCTGACGGTTTTTATATAATAGATCAATGGACTCATTGTGCTTTCTCCAAAACAGATTTTTAAGTTTCGAGAACATAAAATGGTCTCAGTGAGCCAAACTAGCAAATCCAGCGATGGTTGGTCTGACCAATATGTAAGTCACCATCATATTCGAATATGACGATGCTGTCAAGATTTTGGGGTAAATCCAGCATTGACTCCTTCGTACCCAAAAAGATTGAGACAATACATACATATAAGATAATGAGAAAGGCCAATATAAAATAAATAAACTCTAAACATATTTCAAAGCCTACTATAACCCACTGAAATACTGACATGAAGATCAAAGATAACATATAATATTTATCGATAAATCCAAAATATATTTGGTATATATATATATATACTGTCTCTTATACACATCTAGATGTGTATAAGAGACAGACTGTACACAAGCAGAAAATCAAAAAAAAAATTATACTTATTTTTATTAAATTCTCATTTTAATTTTTATAAAATACATTCATAACAAATGAAGAAATCAAATATATAATTTTTTCACTTTCATACTTAAATCAATTTATTTAAAATTTCTTAATTTTACTTGCAAAAACACAATCCACTCGCTGGTGTGCGCATATCTCGCTTGCTTGCGAGCAGCCAAATGTCATTTTCGTTCGTTGAAGGCGAAAATTGAAACTTTCCGCTGTGTTGCTTGTTTGTTTTTCGCTTATTCTTTCATTCCACGCTGATTTGCGCTCTCTGTTTTGAGTGTGTTTGACGTTTGCGCTGTCAGTTGTTCAGTTTTGTTTTTCTTTGCTTTGTTTTGCGTGATTGTTTGATTGCGTGAAAAATATTTAGAAATAATTGTATTTTGTGTATATTTACTCTACAAAATTGTGTATAAATTTGTGCTGGTTAAGTGTATGTATAAATAAAAAGTTATAAATAATGGCTACAGCACCAAATGAGTTATCGATTGCCGAAATAAGAAACTACATGCTCAGTAATGACTCCAAGGTGACAAATCATGCGTTGGTTAAGCATTTTAAGCACTTTCTCACCAAACCCGAAACCCAAAGTGAGTCATTAACGAATGTTCACAATCACCAGCTTCCGCTGGTGTTTGCAAACAATACCAAAAATCACTTTTAACCCATACCAGCATCAATCTCACTTGTTGCTCGCATTCTGACCGTTTGTTCATCAGAAAGACGCTAATGTCACATATTTCGTCTCTTCTCTTCTTCCGTTGCAGATGAAGCGCGCAAATTGTTTAAAGTTTACGTCAATATTTTGTCAACAATAAGAAATGAAAATAATCAAAAGTATTTAATATTACGTAAGAAGTACATTCACGAACTGCCCAGCAATGATGTCGTTCAGCGTGCAGTTGCTGCAGCAGGAGCCGAAACAGTGCCCAGTAGTCCAGGAGGTATGTCAGTTATATCGGAAAGTGCTATTTTATCGCCTATGCGACAACCTCCACCATATGTGCCACCACCTGAAGTTGCGGCAGCCGATAATAATTGTGGTTGTTTAGATCAAATCGTTGAAGTGGCTACTATTGAAACGAGTAAGACAGCGCAAACTGCTTTGGCAGAGTCTGAAACGGAAGCACTCACAAAGAAAAATCCTGAAGAAAATCATGAATTGGAAGTTGAAAAGCGTTTGAAAGCTATTTCGAAAGAAAGCCACAAAGAAAATAAGGAAAATATACCACGATTCTCGTTTTCATCTGATGGCTCGGCAACTTCACTTAGCAGCAAGTCCAGTAAGGACACCATCGATTCTGATATTGATCCACCCGGCAGCAATGTGAGCGTCAAAGAGGCTACTCGTAAATTTAATCGGCTAGTGTCAGAAGAAGAAGCTAAAGCAGCTGTAGTTTCGCCGTCTGCAAAAAAGAAAGCTGAAGAAAAAGACGAGGTAAGTTCTGCTAGTCATCAACAACTTCAATATTAAAAAAAAAAAATATTTCATTTTTTATAATTTTCCAATGATCATTCATATGAAAACGCATTTTAAAAGTGTGACATTTTCCATATCTTGCGAAGTAAAAAATATAAAAGAAGAAGTGACCATCATATTGTACATTTCCAAGATCAAATGCAACCAGCAGACTCAATAAAAAAAAACCTTGAAGAAAACGAACTTTGTGATAGCTCCGATGAAGACATCGATCTGAGCGATTATAAAAATAATTGAACAATATTTTGTACCAAATTATTAGAAAAAAATTAAGTACAGCAAATTTGAATTTATTAGCAATTTTCATATACTTGTTAAAAATTTTGGTGTGCAGTTAATATTTAAATTTATTTTTGCTTTATTTTAAAATGCCAAATCATGTCATTCGAAAGCAATTGGCTAAAATTATTCTAACTGTACTTTAATGCCGATTGCCAAAATAAATAGTTATAATTTGTATACACGTATAACCATAGCCACTTGTCTAATTTGTATTATCAGCCCCTGAAGGTGAAACCCACATTTGGGTTTGTGAATATTTTACGAGTTAATGCAACCAGCATGTTGTTCCCAAAAGAAAAGGAACGCTAGTTCAACCAATGTGCAATAATTATAAAAAGCTAAAATGCAGCATTTTCTCTTTTTAAGTTGTGGTTTGTTTCATTGTGTGGACAAATGTCCAATGGCACCTTCCGGCTAAAACGGTCGTAGCCGTGGTTAGTAGTTGGTGCTCATACATGCGGTGTAAGCTAGCACAGACACCTTATGCATGTTGCACAGTGGTCAAAAATTTGACCATACTTGCAAAAAATTATGATTTGAGGTAATTTATTTAAAAATAATAATRATTTTGAGATATCAATATGAAATCAAGTCTAGTTAATAACTTTAACTAATGGACCTAAGCGTCTATCTGCAATAATTAATTTTTAGAGTTAGTATAAAATAAAACCAGTTTACAATTGCAATTGGTATTTTCGTTAGCACAAACAAATATCAACAAAAGCATGAATTTCAAATTGGATAACAAGTTTCAAACTAAACTAATCAATATTTAAAAATATAAAAAATAATTTAATTTAATTGTGTTGAATTCACGCTCTAATGGCATACAAATAAAAAATATACAACACAGGGTGGCACGAAATACTGATTATATATAAATTTTCAAAGTCTTAGTCACTATAAAAAAGTAAAATAAGTTATACCATATTTAAAATTAATATACAAAAATAATATTTCATTAATTTTACTTTTTAAAATTATTAAATTAAATAATAGCGAATTAAAAATTTAGTGGCATTACATTTAAAATATAAATATCTTAAGTGCAACACTCTTTGGTTAATAAAACGACCCACTGTACCTGTATGCGCTAATAAATACTAGAATGCACTCCGTTAGTTGCATGACCAATATAAAATGTGTGGGAGATCACTCAACCCGACCATTCCACAGCACACTATAACTGCTGGTTGCCTAAATACCTACATATACTGGGTTTTTACAAAACAAAAAACAATTAATTTCTGCATTTTGTTCGCTACACTAACTACAAGAATTTTTATATCTCTTAGTAAACAAGAGTTTTCTGCTGGTCATGGGGAATGTAAACCAGCCGACTGCAAAATGCCTGTGGGAAGTGTTGCAATCAAAACAAAAACAAGCAAGAAAGTGTAGCAAAACGAACACGTTACAAAGCAACTAGCATGAGCATCATGTAACGGCTGCCTTACCACCACCGAACGGTAGAAATGGCAACGCGATTTTATAGCCCAGAAAGCGGCATCTTGCGCGGCTTAGTGAAAAGTTAACCTAAATTTTTATATTATACAATTTGTATACCCTGAATAGGGCCTATGACCTCCGAAAATATTGTTTGGATCTACTTCTATCTTTAGGCCTACTATAACATAAAGCTCCCATACAATTAGATTAACAAAAAACTGAAGATCCTTCCATACCCTTTAATATTTATTAAAATGCACGTATGAAGAGTTGTTGTTGTTGTTGTTGTAGGGACAAAATTCTCCTAAGTGGGCAGACCGTGACTGGTAAAAAAAAACCGTTTCTGTTCCGGTTACGTAGACCCGACTGTCGTGGAAACGGCACCTGTGAAGGGTATTACAGCTTCTGTGCAGCTGAAGTTAATGTTTTTCCTATTTTTAATTTTTTTTTGTTTTTTCCACTTTTGCATGGAAACATTACGAGTACGTTCAGCATACACATTTATCAAAAACGTTAAGCGCCTGCCGATAGCATTGAAGATTTGCCATGTCATTGTCATAGCATGTTGATTAATTAGTGCAATGTTTGAAATTTATTTGTGAAATGTTGTCAATAATAGGCCGGAAGGTCTAATTTGCTTGCAATTATTATGGGCCAGTGTGTTAAGGCAAAGAACAAGTGAAATGTCATAAATTGTTTATGTTAAAAAATTTCAATTCAGAGAAAGAACTGGTTAACATTCAGCTAGTTGAGGTAATTATGAAAAAAATGTCAAAAAATATTTATAGCACAAACAATATTTACCCTTTGTCGAGATTTAAAGCCTGGCAGCTTACATGTTATTTATAACACACCACAGTGTGAAGATTTTCCGTTAAATTGGCATTCATTTAGGAAACCTGCATAGCTACACTTTAGCATATCAGCACAATTATCGTTTTATCATGTAAAGCAAGACAGATTAGCATGCCGCAGCAGGCCCACCCAAGCGGTTAGACTAATTACAACGTCGCTTCGATTTTTCACTTGCCGCAACACGCGCTTTTACATAAGTAGATGCGTTTTCGCCAATTTTTTATCTGCTGCATAACAGTTGTTTAACATATTTTAGTCAAGCAAGCGAGTGTATTTACATACACGCACACGTGTACTTAAGCGCAATCTCTTATTTGGTTGCGGTTTATTTTTACGTTCCACTGCAACATCTTCCACAGCTTAAACGTTTGCTGCGCTGCTCCTGCTGCATCTACTTGTTCTCTGGAGCGTGTAAACTGTCAGTTTAATGTCAAGTTGTTCGCATAGAACCACCAGGCCGGCAATGCATTGCCAACACCGGCATTGTGGCAGCATGTTTGGGGCAGTCGGCTGGCTGTTGGTATTCAGCGCCTTGTCAGCAACATAGCAGTGAATTTGAATTGAATAAATCCATTAATTTTATTAGCAGACGATAAAAATGTTCTGTTCTTTAATTTACAACAAGTGCATACAACATTTTCGTCGCGTCTTCTTGCATATGTATGTAGCTTCCCCTTGCAGGTGAAGCCCACGCAACTCGTAGGATTTGTTTATATGAAATTGTGTTCAAGAGAGTATATGTATATATGAATGCTTGCGCTTTTTCTATTAAACCCAAGGTATGCAATAATGCATATTTAGACACAGGCTGCTAGCTACAACCAATGAGCCACTTGAAATATTCCAAAATTATGACCAGTTTGGAATTTTCCATAATTATACTAATTTTTATACACCCCAACATATTTTTTACAGTATAATTTTTTTTAAATCTAGGTAGGGCTAGTGCTAGTTCGGGTATAACCAAATTTTTCATACTCTTCAGGGAAGTAACTTCAACTACAATACATAAGGCTTGTTAGTTATATGGGGTATAGCGCGAGTTTTTTACCCGATTTTAATCATTCTAAACACAAATATACACCTTTACAAGAAAAACACTCGGTCGGTTGTTATTATTGTAGCTGTAAAATTATTTTCCATTCTGTTCCAAATTCTGCAAATCCAGCTTCGTTCCGGTTACGTAAACCCGAATATTGTGGCAACGGACTGTCTCTCTGTTTTGTTTTATTAAGATAACTCACATATTGGCCGATATATGCGCTATAAAGTCAAAATCCCTATATTAGAAATATGACGGCTAAGAAAAGTATTGACCCGATTCTAACCATTTTTGCTACACCGAGACACTATTAACAGAAAAGAATTATTTCTAAATTTAAATTATGTATATATATCACACATTGACCGATATTTTCGATAAAAACTCGACTGTTGTCCTCATCTTTGGGACCCATTGGTTTGAACAGTTTTGGTTCCATTTGGACATTTTTTTTATCATATGTTGGCATACTTCAAAGTCAATATTCGTGCAAAGTTGTATTCCGTTATATTGATTTATTCTTTATTTGTACACAGAAAAGTGAAAGAATCAAATGGAATTTGAAATTGTTGCAAACCGATTTCACTCATCCTCACCCTGTTATTATATGTAGAAGTGTCATTAGAATGTCACATACCACACACATTAGTTAAAATCGGTCAGGCGAATCTCACGATATGTGATTTCACCCTAAAAGTGGGCGAAACCACGCTTATTGTCCAATTTTCACCTCGGCTCCCATAAAATTCTCTCATACCATCTCGGATATAAAATGTCTCTGGCGTATACATATAGTTACTGATTTATCATGGCTTGCTTTAGTAGTTTTTAACAATACCGTTATATTGGAAGTGGGCGGAATTATCATCCGATTCCATCCATTTCTTTATACTGAACAGGGTATATTAAGTTTGTCACGAAGCTTGTAACACCCAGAAGGAAGCGTCGGAGACCCTATATATAGTACACATAAATGGTCAGTAGGTTGAGCTGAGTCGATTTAGCCATGTCCGTCTGTCCGTCCGTCTGTATATATACGAACTAGTCAAGGGCTTGTATAGAAAAGTCTCGCATTTGACATGGATTACTGCTTAAGGTAATAATATAACCTCAGGAAAATTGTTCAGAACGGTTAACTATAGCATATAACTGTATCTTCATGAAACTTGGTACGAGTTATTGTTCATAGAAATAATGTAATATCGAAAGAGATTGTTCAGATCGGCACACTATGGCATATAGTTGCCATACAAACCGGACGTTCGAAATCAAGGACTTAGTTGTGGTACTTAATAAGTTAGTGGCATTTGTAGGCGTTGCAGTGGCCTGATTACGCCCATCTCGTCGTTAATTTTTTGGGTAGGAACCCATGAAACTTAGTACACAGACAGACAGGCAGACAGTCAACTCCTCTCGTCATCCTGACCATTTATATATATATATATATATATTATATAATATATAACCCTATTTCCATCTCGATTATACCCGAGAGGGATCTCGAGATGATCCACACAACCCTAAGAAGAACAGAACTATTATGCTCTGTAGCAACATGTTTCATGTATAAAACAGACTCGCATGAGGCAGTACAAATCTTTACCATCGGCTTCAAAAAAGGTTTCTTTTAAGCGATATGTAAACAAGTC